ATGGCATAGATGTTTATTTATCTGTCGATGTCTGTGAAGAAACGAATTTTGGAAAACAATTTATGATTATGAACATTGTTTAACAAATCAATTAAATTTGTCACAAAATCTTCCTATATTTTTTATTTTTTGAAGGATGCGTGACTTTATGGTCACATCAGTATTATTTGTGCCGTGTGGCGGCCGTAAAAAATCTCCCTGTACATTAAATCAAAGACGTTATATTTTCGATCCTTGAAGATCGCTCAGTTCGACTTAATCGTTGTGTATACATGTTATGTGGTATTTTTAGTTGTTTCTATTTTGCCATTTTCAACTTGGGTGGTTCCAATTTTCCTACTTGAATACTTGTATGTTGCCTGCTTTTTAAATTTGTCTTTTGACGTCTTATGTGTGATATGCATGGACAGTTCCATGAAGCCGGTCGCTAGGGCCGTGGACGGTAACTTGCAATTTCATGGAACCGTCTACTAACAGGCTCAATCAAACCGAGCCTGCAACATTTTCCATTTTGCCATGTTGGTAATTCTTTAGGGGTTCTGTTTTTCTCTATTTTATGATAGTGTCTTTGTAAAAAAAATCATCAAGAAAAATTAGATAAGGGTTAAAAAATTAAAATTAGGATCTAAATGATTTCTGTTTATTTTTCTCAGTAACTAGTACATGTCTGAACATGGCAGGATTTCACATCTCAATTTGCTAGTGTAGCCTGTTCAAAAGAATTTTATAGTAAAAATGTAATGAAAATATCTTTGATGAGGCAATCTTGAAATATTTCATATGCATACAGTTTGTATGCCAACGTTTTTTCTTCTTCTTAAAATGTAGGACGAGAGTTGTAGGGACTAATTGTGTTTTACAGGTGTTTATCAAATCTTATCATTTGTTAACAAATAACTGTCAACTTATATTCGTGAAGTAAGCCAGACATCCGGAGCAGCCGGAACAAATTTTTGTCTCTTCCGGCTGTTCCGGCTACTCCGGCTAGCCGGAAATCGGAGAAGATACAATGAAACCTATGCAAAAAAACAATTGGTTAATTCCAAAATGTAGTTTCAAATTACTTATCACCTCGATCTCTGACTATTCCGGCTGGCCTGAATTACCAAAATGAAGGCTATTTAAGATGAAAAAAATAATCCAGGTACAAATGTTAATATTTGTATCGTGCAAAATGTGACCGTGGGTCAGCTAACAAAGATGTGTCAGTCAGGAATGTTCTAGTTCTTGGGCGACGTGTAGCCGAATATCGTGCTATAAATGGTCATTTCAACTCATATCTCGCAAATTCTGGCTGCCCTCTGTGAGGCTCAATTATTTATCATTTAATGATTTACCTGTCCGTGCTCTGTCTTTGCACTGTCCTGTTTTTGTTTCGGGTCCGCCTGGGCTCCTTGCCATTGATTTTTGTTGCTGGGTCATGTGTGGGTTGCGTTCATTGAACGCCGCCTTTCCTTGTTGATATTGTTTATTATTTTTTCAGCCTCAATTGCACAGAACCCCAGTATGGTGGGATGGTTAGGGGTCTGACCGTGTGTCCGCTGGTATAGGTGTGTACTACGAGAATATATTGGTATTTTGCCGACGATGAGCCGAAAATCGTAATATAAATGGTCATTTCATCAATATCTCACCTATTCCGGCTGGCTCCTGTGAAGTCCAGCCTCAATTTCACAGAATCCCATATAAATATATTTGGATGGTTAGGGGGACCGTGTGTCTGCTGGTTTATTTGTGTCTGCCAGAAATACTCTGGTGGGGTGGTTATGGGGCTGAGCATGTGTTCGCGGGTATAGGTATGCCCGTCAGGAATACTCTGGTATTTTGCCAAAGTTGAGCCGAAAATCGTACAATACGTGATCATTTCAGCTCATATTTTGCCAATTTTGGCTAACCCCTGTGAGGCTGGTATATGTGTCCGTCGGGAATATTTTCCCAAAGGTAAATCGAAAATCAAAATGTAAATGGTCATTTTAGCTTATCTCTCACCTTTTTATACGTCGGGATTCTTTGGGTGTACGTTTTCAACATACGGAAATCTCGAATTTACGATTTTAACTTCAGGAATTCACAACTTCAACTTTATAAATTCACGATCTCAACTGCACGAGTTCATGATTTCAAGTTTCAAATCACGAATTTACTATTTTAACTTCATGAATTCACAAATTCACGATTTCAACTGCACGAGTTCACGATTTTAACTTCTTTAATTCACGATTTCAACAAAATGAATTCACGGTTTCAACTTAACGAATTCGTGGAGATGAATCCGACACTACTTCTTTTTAGATAGTGGTATATTAAAAGTCATTTACGTGGCCAAATTATTATCAGCACAGTCAATGCCTAATCTTTTTATACAATTATATAGCATGCTGAACTTATTTATTGTGGTAAATCATATTTTATGTTCTTTTTTTCACTATCAACGGAATGAAACATTTCACCTTTTTTATGTAAAACTTTTGAAATGTAATGGAAACATTTCCGGTGAATACAAATGTCTCTATTCCATAGCATATCACAAACACAGAAGATTTAGTAGGCATTGAAAGTTAAATATTTAGAATCCCAATTCTTCCAACATGCAAGGCTTTGACAAAATTTGCGGTGCCCCTGGGGTCCCTTTATGGTTTTGAAAGTTTGATTAAACTTTTTTCTAAAATTTAAACTTTACGAGCTAAAGATTTTTTATGTTTATAACCGTGTTATTTAAGACATTTTTTCTTCAATTCTTTAAATCATTGCAAATGACCTTTTCTTAGCGTATGTTAACTATTATATATAGATTTAATTTGAAAAAGGGTTTTGTTGCATAATGTAGTAAACCTCTGCCAAGTTTACTTTCAGATAATGGCTATGGAGAACGATTATAAACTAGGATTGCTTGCAAGACCCTCTACAGTTCACAGGGCTCAAAACATTTCTTTATACTTACCCTTCTCTGTTGATTTACGCTTACTCTCGCTCTAGTATGAGTATGAACCGAATACATTTTCAATCTATGTATTCCGGTTGCTTCCTCAAAACAATTTATTCCATTTGTATTACCTGCCTTAGAAGACAGACGCCATTTTCATGATGTTTCGTTGTTTTGCTACATAAATTTTTATTTCGCAATGTTAAATATTCCAAGCACTCAGTGCTACAACTTATTATTTCTCAGTTATGTAATTAATTAACTAAAGTATGCTCGTTTTTGTTCAGCCGTTCAAACGCCTTTCGGAATAAGAAATGCAAACAGTTGTCCTGTTAAACGTTGTCCAGCCGTTGCTAGTACATCACTTGTCCGACAAGTGCCGAGAACAGGCTGGCAAAAAGCCCTGTGAATTGGCCTGGCAACCGACAAATCATATTCAAGTGCTTATTCGAGTTTTGCCGGATACGGCCGATGTTACTTAAGGTATTCAGAGTGTCTGTTTTATACTGTTCCGCAGAAGATGAAAGAACACAATGTCAAAAAGCGGCTAATAAAGTTTTGGAAGCCAGAATCTAGGACTGATTATGTCAATTCGGCAATTGTGGGAGAATCGATTGTAACTATTCGTCGATTTTATCGTTGAGATGTTTGGCACATATGATGACTGTATATCTGTTGTGTCTTTCAGACATTAAATAACTAATACTTTTCTGAATGGGTTCAACTCCAATGGAACTTTCTATTTTATATAAAACAAGTGAAACTGATAGGTTGTCCACGCTGGCAAATACATAAATAAAGGTATTTTTTTCATACAAACACAACGCATGATAAGGGAGAGAAGCAGATGTTTTATTCAAATAAATTAAATAATATACAATACAATAATTAAACCAATAACCCCAAAATACAAGGAAACAAACAAAATACCATTAACAAATTCATATGGTAACCTGATAAAACATCAATTTTCATTTTTACAAATGATGAAAGCAAGAAATAGGAAAATTGCATAATTAAATTATAACAGACGACGATTTGTTGCACACAAAATTGAAATTCACCAGGTTTAAATTGTTGTTCATTATTTTTTTTCAATTTCTTGCATCAATTACCAGTTCAGGAATTTATACCAATATGAGAAAGAAAATATAATAAGATTATACAAACAAATATTAAAGAACAAGATGTTGAAACTTAATGGCTGTACTCAAACATTCATAGGAAATAACGTTATAAAGTGATAGTTTGCTAGTTTCAGATTTCATGCGGTGTTTCATCAGATAAAATTTTCCGACTCTTTTGAATATTTGGATGATTTTTCAACAATTTCCAGATTTTTATTCAGATTATCAGGATTCTGGAAACCTAGATCTTCTGCTTAAACATATATATTTTCTGTCTAAACGGTTTATGTATATAAGTGTACAACACATTTACAGCACATTATAAGTGTTCAATTAAAGTTTTTCCAAACCCATCTTGGTTTTAATATTACAAGTATCAGCAAAATAGAGGGCATAGAAAATGTAAAAGCATGAAAGTATTTCCCAGTTTAGAGCATTATGCTATTTGTGCCAAAGAAGTGGTGACATTAGTAAATGTATAGACATACAAGTTTCCCCAAATTACTGTTTTTTGATAATTGTGCCAACAAATGGATTAACATAGATATTGTTTAGGCATAATAATTTGTTTCCCAACTTCTTGCCTTTTGTTTTTGTTTAAGGCATCGGAAGGCATTATCAATAAGATGTATCTTTTGCTACCGTTGTGAGCAAAAGCATATGTATAGTACTAAATGTTTATTTATTTAACAGTTTGTTCTGGAACTCGGTATATTAAATCATTTAGAGTGCATAATAAGCATATTTCCTTCTAAAGGTAGGATATATAATAGATGTACGGGCATAATTTTAGTCACAATCTGTTACATTATGTAATTCGTGTTAGCAAAGTCACGTTTTAGAAACTGCAAATTATGTTATCTGTTGTGACGGCCAATTGATGGTATAATCAGAAAATAGAAAACTGTGATGGTATAATCAGGAAAAAGGACACCGTATATATATATATATATAGACACACATGTTCCCAACTTTGTACAACATGTTATTTGTCCTAGTAATTAGGGTATAACCATCAAAAGGGGGGACAAACATATATGGGCATAATAAATATATATAAACATTTGAAAAATGTACTTAAACGCATGAAATCGTACAAAGAATTTCTTCAGCCTTATATGTTCTCTTTACATTATCAATAATTGAGTCCTTCTAGATATCTGAAAAATAGAATAGAAAATTCAAATGGGTGTCAATTATAAATTAAAACTATATAAGCGAGTTGCACTTCTAATACTAAAATACTAAATGTTACATTGAATATTTTGAATATTATTTGCAATAATGTTAAGTAACACTTTTTATTATATCATTGTTTGGCGGCTGTCAATATTAAAATATTGAATTATTGAATGTACAGTACGTTGCCAGTCACCCGATTTTTAAATTGAAAAATTATGAATTACATTATAGTCAGTTAGAAAATTGACCTACATACCAAAGCGGAAACCTAACGCTGCACCAAGAATGTCATCCAAAGTGTTGTAGCCATTGATTGCATATCCACCACAGCCTCCCATGTGCATCTCAAACTGGTAGAAGTAATTATCAGGAATATAATTTGGAGCCTGGGTAGCAACATCTTCAATCCAATTTCTCATCAATGGTTTGTAGCAGCAATTCCTGTATTTTCCATGAGGAGCGTTATTGTTTGGGTTGACAAAGAGAGCTAAGTAGCTATTTGGATTCTTATCACAATTTTTGAACGTGAAGTCGTTACCGTTTGCTCGGTATCCCTGTGTAGATCGACTTGCTGCGATGGATATAGGTAAGAAGCCAACATACAAATAAGAGCCCCATGTTGCACTGTTGATTGGAGTGTTATAATCAATATTAGCATTGTACTGGATACTTATATTCAATGAAGAATAAGTACTGATCTGTTCCATTGTAGTATCATACTGATCCCCATTTGAACGCAAATTTCTTACCAACACTTCAGTATAATATGACCGAAGGCGGTTCAGGTCAGCCTTCCCAACATCTTCTTTTGATATAAACGTGTAGCCATAACTTGCGTGGAATTCGCAGTACACTTTGTATGGCTCGTCTTGGCTATTGTAGATTACATATTCCCCATTTACTCTGTCCTCGGGTTGCAAATCATCACAACCGCTGAACGCTATAATATAGACAATCGATCACATAGTTGTTTTTCATTTATATTGAATTCTGACTGAAAACTGTAATTGTTTTTCTTTAGAAATAACTGTATAGATTTTAAATGTTAAATTAAGGCGAAAAGTAGACCAACAAGTTTTTGCTTTATGATATTTATAAGGATTCATCAAAACAAGTTTTCCTGAAATTGATCAGAAAGCCACTTATTATATTCGTGAAAAAAATTCCAACCGACTTTGACAACACATGTAAGGTACGTGTCACTAGAAAATGAAAAAAAGTGGTACGCTAAAACTTCTGTTAGACAATTTTTTGACAAATGATTTAAAGCAACGTAAAATAAAGATCAGATAGAAAGGTGCCCCCTGAAGTTTAAACACAATTCATGTAACGTTTCAACCGTAGAGAAGTTATGACAAATGCATTAGTTTAAATACATGATGTATGCATGTAATGTAAATCCTATGCAAATGCATTTCTGTTTGTAATGTTCAAAATGAAAGAATGATTTGTATATTCAACGTACCTATTTCACAGTTCTCTCCACTAAACCCAGGCAAACATGTGCAACTGTAGTAATTGATCCCGTCATTACATGTCCCTCCATTCAAACATGGTGAACTAGCACAATCATCAATATCTAAATTAAAGATAAACTTTACTCAAATTTGATATTAGAAAATATTGATAATTGCTACACAGTCTCTTTGCAAATGCAAAAATAAATAAACTTTTTTGTGATTAAAATATTTTACTCAAGGATAAGCATACTATATGTTTAATCACGAAAATGATTTATTTGTTTACTACAAAAATATGTTTGAAAGAATGCAATTCATACATAAGTTATACAGACATTGTACAGTATACGCCTTTAAAGATAACTGGTAAATATTGATGAAAGTTGTCTTATATAAAATGCTAATTAATGCAAGATCATTAACGATCGTTATGAAAAGCTTGCATTAGTTGTTTGTTTTTTTGAATGATCTCCACCTCTCTTAAAATTATACTTCTTCCCTTTCATTATAGCATTATCTTCTTTACTTATTTTATTAAATTGTAACATTCTTCTAAGATGTTGTAAGCAATCATATATCAATAAAACTATGAAGCTAGCTTAAGGAATGTCTGTGGTTCTACCCAGGTGCCTGTTCGTGCCTGAAATAATACATAGAAGGGCACGTGAGGTCTTCCTCCAACAGTGAAGCTCTAATGTCATCATATGATCTATACTGTGTCGTTATGACGTAAACCCCAATAAAAAATATCAATTTATAAAGTACAGCGACTTTGATTGATAAACAATAACGTAAAATGCATGTTTACTTGTTTCACAGTTGCTGCCAGTAAAACCCGGCTCGGAACAGTAACATTGCGTCGCCCTGCCTTGAATGTAACAATTATTCAAGTCAGCACACGAACCTAAAATGATACCATTTATAAATTGGTTGTGATTAGATTATTTATTAGCAGTAATGAAACTACCACATTGAATGCAATCAATTTCAATATCAAATTAATTTATAAGACTGGTTGTGTATTTCTAAAATTCTAAATAGCTGTTTTGAACGGAAAGTAAGATTGTATAGTAAGATTGAGAACCAAACTTTTCGAAATAAAACATTTATGGAAAGTAACGGAAGTTTGCCGACGATTATATGTATAAAGTAATTGTATTCTAATGGCCATGATTTTATAGAAAAAAATAGATAAATGAATAAATAAGATAAATAAATAAATTTACATGAAAATAAAAAAGGAAAAAATGTAAAAACTGAGAGTATTTAAAATAATAGTTATTTTTTTTGAAGATGTTACTGATTAATTTTTGATAAAATGTTCAACGTATTTAACTTACAAGGGTAACATTTTTTTGAGGCAGGTTGCTTTACATCCGGAAGCAAACATGCGCCTCCGGGAGGACACTGCAATAAAAAAAATTCTTGAGTGGTATTAAACAGATTCCATTTTGTTGAATTATGAAATTATATCCTTTAATTTACATTTACTATATCTGTACTTTATCATTTGATTATCTAATTGGTCAGAGTGACCTTTGAGTGACAAACAAAAATACTTCTACTCAATACGATCATAAACATCCTTTGGACGTTTTAGATTAAATATAAAGGTTCTATGATTTCGGCCGTATGAGCACATCTGCGAATGTTTCAACATCTAAAATTTCATCACCTTTGCTTTTAAATGTTGAATTCTGCTTTAGCCGGTGCTATTGGGCGTGGACGGTGACCTGTACTTTCGAGTACCGTCCACGAACAAGCTTAAACCTGTCAATCGAGTCGTTTTGAGCGTTCTTTAAGGCATTATGTTTTTCTCCATTTAAATATTTGTCTAGATATGTATCACGAACAGTGTTCATCTACAATGTAACCGTGACCCTTGAAGATCCAGACTCAAAATCTTATATTTAATAAAAAAATGAAAGATATGATTTAAATAGTTTTCTGGTTTTAAAGCGGGTCATGTTTCAAACCAGAATAGTCATTGAAAACAACAATTGGATTTAAAGTTAGCTCACTTGAACACAATGTTATCAATAGGAGCTTTTGCCATTTATATTTGTAAAATTGTTAGTTTCAAATATGTTCAACTAGATCATCGGGTCAAATAAAAGAAGAACTTTCTTCATACAATCTAGATCACAACCTATATTGAATCTTCTATCTCTGTCTGGATGATATACAGGTTAAATTTGAATTTGGCTGTTGAAGAATTAGGCCACATGGTAAAAAGTCAAAGACTATTTTTCCTTATCAAGCTTAAAGTCGGTGTTTGATCATAACTAGGCAATCAATGTTATAATCATAGCGTTGTTTTAATTCTATATATGTCTTAGCAATGAAAGAATAAAGGAAAAAAATAAATAAACACTTACATCAGAATGTTCAACACAGCTCAACACAACGCCTTCTGTTGTTTTGATATAGGTTGAAAACAACACGTAAACCTGACACAATTAACAATATTGTTAATTTAAAATTAATTAAACTCATTTTTGAGTTTAATATTTTTATCGTAGAAATTCATTGAAATATATGAAATTCTTATCAAATATGTCTTATTTGAATAAAAAAGTATACGATATATTTACAGAAAGATATATTCCATATTACAGGTCAAGTAATAACACTTCTAACTATTAATAAATATCGTTTAAATTAAGATCAAGTGTTCTAAGTTAAACCATTAGCTTTCTATATATAGTGGATAATATAATTATGATGATAGTGCATGCAAAGAATATTTTCTATGATTTGGCTGCATGATTAAAAAAAACATACATTCAAGATGATAATCTATTATAAGTTGATTTATGATATTGCAGAGGAGGTGGTGGCGAAGGGGATACACTTTGTTGTTATCACTGTAATTAATTTATGTAAGTAACATCTTACCAAGCCAGTGTATATTAACATCGACATCTTCGGCAGATTACAAATATCTAATAAAAAAAACAGAAGGGTGAAAAACAAACATTTTGTCTGAAAATATTAAGAATTAACACAAAAAAATCATTAACAACAAACAAATGATGATTGGTGTCTGTGCCTCAACCAGGTTTCATAGGTCCGAGCCCGACTCGGGTCACGACAACACGACGGGTCTATGACACCAGTTGTTTAAGGATTTGGACTCGTAAAATGATGAATGTGAGTTGGAAGATCTTTTTTTCGTAGGAGAGCTTTAATGATTTTCTTCACATCTTATTGAATGAATGATTTATTTTTAACTCATATTTTTTGTTTCAATATTTGATTTGACAAAACGCCAAAACAGACGTCCGCGACCAAGTGGTTAAGGTCATTGTCATCGAGTTTCTTGCCTCTCTTAGCGCTGTGAGTTTGTACTCACCTGAGACTTTGGACTCATGTAGATAGTTAACTGAACATCGCTTGTTTCATTCAGGTACTTAACTAAGTACAGACACTTAACAGGTATTAATCCCTTAAGTTTTTTTACGATTGATTTCCCAGTACCAAAAGATTTATCAATCAATCATTTGGGAATAACCATTAGGCCTAATGTCTATCTATCCGTTAACCGACCGCGTTGTAAGTTTGCGACCGCCCGATTATCACAATCGACACTATTTCTGATATTATTATTTTCATATTTGTTGTTCGTCAATAGAAAGCGTGAACAAGAACGGAGCTTGTAGTCGGATCATCTATATTTTTATAAAGATATAACTTAGTTTATACAAATTTATTTTAGTTCGATTGTGTTTGAAGCTATAAGCCTATTGAAACACTCTCGAATCCGTTCCTAGAACCAACCAGTACTAAGCAATGAATGTAAAGTTTCTTGCTCAAGGTAACAACGGCTTGCCCCTGTCAGGGTTTGAGCCCACGCGGTCAGCAATCCTTAGATTACTAGTCCGACGCGTAAACCACTCGGCCACGCCGCCACTATATAACTTAATATGATAATAAAAATTACGAAGAAATTATTGAAGTGATCAGAATCAATCTTTTAGGTATGATTCTGGCTAGTCTTTCAGGTATAATTCTAGCCAGAAAACTATAAAGATGTAGATATAATCACCAAAATATAGCATGTGCCGTACCTACGCAGAGGGACATTGAAGCAGAGAACTCGGTGTAATGTTTGCCAGATAACGAATATAATGTTGAAACATTTCAGAATAGAACAGTTTTTAAAGAACTACTTTATTGTAAACTGTCAAGATTTTGCCGAAGGATATCTACCTATTAAGACAGTATAACAGTACCATAAACGTTCTAGAAGAATCAATCCTATATCACTTATATGCCTTATAAATCATCTCCCGTATTGTAACTAGGTACATGTAAAAAAAAGGTTCATTTACAGAGAAATGGACATTTTGTACCGAATTCTACGGAAAGCTATGCTTCACTAAAATGTTGCTTGGTCATTGCACCATGTCGATGTGGGAATATGACTTACAATTGCCGTTCATGACCAGAGTCATTCAAATGAAGCAATGTTTTTTTACATGGAAGTGCCATATAAAACGTTCCATGATCACCATCGAGTAAACATACAGATGGAACGAATGCCTAAATCACATCATTTTCATAAGTAAGAGCTAGTGACATGAACGGTATTGTATAATACAAGCTACCATCCCCATGCTGAATCAAAACGAACCGGCATATTTTGTTTGTCACTAAATGACTTGAAATACTCTTATTTTATTGACTTCAGTTTTCATTTGTTTATTAAAATAGATCGATTTGAATAATATGTAAAGTAAAAGCATTTAAAAATGTATTTTTGAATCTTTGAATATGAAGAATAAACTCAACAAAGATTGGCAAGCGGTTCTTGGTGTCATTTTTATTTTAAAGTTTAGCACTGTACTTTTAATTTAAATTGTTAAACAATTATATAGCTGTAATACATCATATTAACATCATTAAATTTTTAGATTCAAACGTAATATTTGGTTCAAGCCGTACCAAGGTAAAGACTTTCGTTTCGGCAGAATATGTCTATACAAAGCTCCAGACCGCAGTGGAGACTTTCTTAATAACAGCAAAGTTTGTTGCAATATGCTCCAGGGTCATCCTAAAGGGCTGTCTCTGTGTAAATTTATTGACAAGGGCACTGCTTTGTTTTTGTGAAAAAAATAAAACTTGAGAAAATAAATTCCATCTGCCGTTAAAAACAAACTATGACTAATCTCATAACATGGGGTCTTTTTTGAAAGCCCGTATTTGACACATCAAAATGTTTTTTTTTTTCGATATCTATTGTCTCTCGTATAAACGTTTAACACTGACGTAATCGGTTAAATGGATATCCAGCATTAGACACAATGACCAATTAGACCAAGTAGACCGTCTGAGGATGGAACCATTAGTCCCTAAAGTACAGATTCGACTGTATTCCTATTGAACTTAGCGGGCTGGAAACAATTTTTGTGTATGGCTTTATATATTATTAACATCGAAAAATAAGTTAATGTGCAGAAACTTATAAGGAAACGTCGGTTTATAAACTTTTTCTTCTGCATTTTTTATTCTCTATTTTATCTTTTAAAATTGGAGTGTTAAATTATATTAACCTTTAAATAGAAATAAGACGTGATTGTCATCCTTAAAATATACAAAGAATGTTTAATCTGCGTGGAATTACCATTCGCTCGGTAAAAGCCTAAAAGCAGTTCTTCGTTTGACACTGTTAAAATTTAAAGCTGCTACATGTTGAAACACTTTACAAAAATAAACTTTCAAAATTTCAGACTATAATATGCAAGTTAGTAAGAAATTTTGTTGAGTCTGTGTCTAAGATGAATAAACGTATAAGTTGATAAATAAATAGATAAATAGAAATAAGTTACTCACATTCTTCAGGTTTCAGGTAAATAATGTTGACTCTTCTAGTTCCCCAACGTTTAATAATTTTATTTCTTGAAAACCCTGCAAATAAATTCCAAGTCTTTCGCCATCCTGAATTCTTCTGTTTAACAATGTGTGATGATATTAGTTCACATTATTTATAAGCGATTGAACAAACGCCCAATATGTGTTTGACAACGATTGGTCGAACTAAAGAGATTGAATTGCACAATTATGGGACACTTATGACTTAGTTGTCAGAACAATTGTTACAATATTTTAAAGTATTTTCAGACACATTAATCAGATATCATATTTTCTTGTTTTTCATTTACACTAGTACCAAACAATATCATATCTATAAATAAACTATCACAAATGGTTTGATTGTAAAATGACACAGAAAATGTAGAAAAGGTAAAATAAACTTATATTAGATTTAAGTTATAACGATTCGTTCACAAAAGCATCTGTTACCAATCACGAGACTAGCGTATGAAACTAAACGAACTGATCAGTTATATATCAATGGATCATACGATTTCTGAAATATCCTTGAACAACTTACCGACTTTCCTTATTTTGATCTAGTATTGTACCAAAGTATATTATTAACTAAAAGTACTACATGGCGTTGTTCTATGATTTGTCTTATCAATTTAACTACTGTCGGTGGTCATGTTTGATGGTTGGCCTGAGAAAAGAGCCATACCATAAGCGTTTTTCTCCAACAAGTCTAGCTAAATTTTTGGTTGCCTTGTTGAAACTGTCTGTTGTTAATATAAGTATCATAAAACAAAGTATAAAGAGTATTATTATATTAACACACGTCTGGATTCAATAAAGGTATCAAAGATATTTTTTTTTCATAATTTGTTCATAGTTTAAGTATACCACATTTGCACACATTCTTTGCTAAAATAACAGGTAACTTTTCTTCAATGTTTCATAATTAAACGACAATTTATCGCCCTTACAACACATTGTTTATGTATTGATATAGATCTAAAATTTATGCATTTAACTAGGATTTTTACTGTTTGTGAGAGTGGGAATATCAATACAATCCCGACTCAGTGATAGCTAGAATGTTTGGGTTGTAACGGATTTTTTACATCACATTGCCGGGGTATTTCGGCCAGCTGTGTTTCGCAATCTTGATTTCGTGATTTACTTGCTTATTGTTATTCTTTATTAGGTCTTAATCTGACAAATAATCCTTGTGAAATTTCTAAAAGAATGTTTGGGTAAATTAAATGAAAATCGACCCTCTTTGACAGACATATATATTCAACTTAAGCACTTAAAATTTATATAAAATTTTTATACTGAACGCCATATAAGGATGAGTCTTAACATTCAGTCAAACCCATCTCTAAAACGTATCATGCTTATAGACTTCAATATACCAGATATTGATCTCAACAATGGTCATGCCACCACACATTAAATACATAGAGACCTATAAAAATATTATAGTTTATTTAAAACATGTAAAATAAATGGGAAAATTCTCATTGATCTTGACATAGTGCATCATGTATTTGAAATAAAAACAAGAGGGTCCGATTCAACCTAAAAATCATCCTGCAATAGAAGCGGGGATGGGGGAATGGGGCAGGACATGTCAGAATTCAGAATGAACATTTCTTACAACCAGTTCCTGAACATACATGAAATGTCTTTTAAAGTATGCTCAACTAATGAACTAATCAAATAAACAATCCGTAACCTAAATTCTTTCGATTGGATAAAGAGACAATGTATATTTTATAGCTCTGTTAAACATAACAAAAACTTAAATTTTATCCGCTTAAGTGTACGAAAACCTGTCTGATAAAGCAAATACACTATAAAAACAGTTCTAGCGGTTTTCTCACGCCCTGAATCCTTTTTCTCTTGAATCAGATTTCTTCAAGTAAGACCACCCCAAAGAACCTCCTCAACTTATTATTACTATTAAACTAATTTATAAGTTCGTTGTAAGGAAGAACTTTTTCTTCAGATTACCTCGATTCTCTGACATATTGTCCATAAGGATTGAAAAATCAGCTAGTATTTCCCAAGAGAGTCCAAAAGTTTAAGAAAACGGAAGAAAGATCAACAAGGACAAAGCAAGTTCTAACCCAAGCAAAAACAGGCCAATATCACTTTCTTGTATTGTCTCCAAAATTGTAAAATAAAATATCGAAGCCTCAAGCATAGTGAGATATTTTCATAAATGATATTTTCAGCTCGCATTTAGATCGAAAGGAGAACCTGTGTTATAAAACTAATTATCACAACTATTCAATGGTCAACAGACTGATGCATTAGTAATGGGCTGCAAGTCAACAATTACAATCTCCACATACTGTTTAACTGAGTTTGGTTATTTTTTTTTTCTACTTCAAATTTTGAATTCCATTGACTCTCCGACCCCTTTATACATTATGACTTTTCGACTTCTTATTTGTAAGAAGTAACATAGTGAGGGTGATATTTAGACTTATTTAGGATTGAAAGTGTCTTATGCTTACTATATAACTTCATTTGCTTACTTTG